GAAAATACATTTCCTCTTCATAAGCAAAAGCACAACTGTTTACCTTCGACGAATGTAATTGAAGCTGACCTCAACCTCTTGATGTACATCTTGCTCTTTTCCAAGGAACGCCCACTTGTCTATTTTGGGCTTTGCGGAGTTTTAAAAAGAGTCATGGAACAGCATACGTATCTGAAGGCACTGTCCTACTGTGCTGTGTAGGGGGGCTACTGCGAACCTAGCTGATACATGTAGTTACAGAAGCTGCCAATACATACTACAGTAACTGTGCCTACTAAACCAGTGTGAAGGGCCCCTGAATCCCAGTACTGTCCTCATGCCATGGCTTGAGAACGCGCTCTTGTACAGGTCTCTCATGCCAAGCACCACACCCAGTCCTGAACTAACACTTGGACCCAGCCCTCCCCATCAAAAATAATTTTCTAACATACTGTATCTGCCCTTGTAGTTGCAAAAGAAGAGAAATTCCCACTGCCTCGTTCCCTTGGGTACAGGATGTTGGCTCAAAACACACCTGAGGACACACATAGCAAAAATAATGAATATCATAAAACACTCCCCGCGTCAGTCTTTCTTCCCCTGGAGAATCGTAAGAAAGCAGAGCCTGACAGAGAGAGGCACTAGAAAACTGAGGGAGAGAAAAGAAAAGGAAGAAAGGACCAGCAGGAGTGTAAAGTGGGGAAAAAGCAGAGGAGGGGAAGAAGAGAGGAGAAAGAAGACAAACAGGAAAGGGAGAAGGGAGAGATGGAGAAAAGCCTCCCTGTCAGGCCTTTGGACAACCAGGGTGATTCGATGGGAACCATTCTGGTCCTAATTGACGGGCCAGAACAACGCTGTTGTCGGGCTGTATTAAATCACGGTGTGATGTGTGTTTGTATTTGTGTGGGGGGTGGGCGGGGGAGTGCGTGTGTGTGTGCGCATTTGTGTGTGTGTGTGTGTGTGTAGAGGGGAGATCAGTGGCCTCGCACATTGAAATAGATGGCCAGGATGATGGTGAGAAGGATGATGGCTCCGAGGACGAAGACCAGGATACGATTCTGGATGATCCTGCAGAGAAAGAGAGAGAGAGAAAGAGAGGTATGAAACAGAAAAAACAAAGATGAACTATCTAACTAACTAATCTGTATGTGCGCGGGCTGTCTGGTGGACCGACCCGTGTCTGGAAGCAGCAGTAGAGCTGGGTGAGGTAGGGGTGTCGGCGGGCGAGGGCCAGGATGCGCTTTTCGGTCATGGTGCAGTCCACATCGTCGTCCTGCAGGATCACGTCCTTCTTCAAAACTTTGACAGCGTAAACCTCCTCCGTGCCCTTCAGCTCTGCCAGCATTACCTGGATATGAGAGACAAGATTATGGAAACAGGAAGGAGAAGGAAAGATGCAGCAGAGATGGGTGGGGAAAAAAGTGAATAGAGATTGGAAGAAGAGAGAAAAGAAAGCAGGAAATCACAGAAGTTAGTAAAATTTCTAAAAAAAACTGGACACTACTGGTGAACAAACTCCCACTCTAGGTTAATAATGTGTTCATAAACTGAAAAGATGTCTGATGATGGAAGTATAAAAAGTCTAAAATCGCAAATCAACACACTTATATCTCATATTTTCCCCTTGTATACAGTTTTAATGAGTGAATTCTTATATATGAATGTGTGGTTTTTCTATTACCAAGACAGAGAGTATTAACAGATCTTTATATAATTACCGTCTGCGTATTGCAGCTTTAATACAAAAATACTGATTAGTGCAGCTAAACCATAACTGCATGTGTGACAGCTCAATACTTTCACAGTTTCTTGTTTGTTAATGTTTTCAAGAAGGAAAAGTCTGGTTTGGTAATGGTACATTGTGGAAAATGTAATGTAATGTGTAAAAACAGCTGCCTCCATACACTGTCATTCACATGTCAACTAGTCTATTCTGGTCCCTGATATTCACTGACATCTCCTGGTAATTCAGCAGCTATAAATAATAAGAGCCTGGTGAACGGGCTGCTAAAAGAACAAAAACCCTGTTTTAATTATGAAAATAATGAGCAGTAAACAAACAAACATCCCCCTCAAACGCCTCCTCTGTGTTGCCGCACCTTGCCGAAGCTGCCTTTGCCGAGAACCTTGATAAAATTGAAGTCCTTGAGGCTCCTCCTCTGGATCTGTCCGTTCTCCCTGCCTGCTGTGGAGGAGGACGTGGAGGAAGAGGAGGTGGTGGAGGAGGAGGAAAAGGAGGAGGAGGAGGTGTGCTGGGGTCCCTGCTGGTCGAGTGACAGCACGTCCTGCAGGCGATCTAACCCTGCCAAGTCTGTGGGTGTCAACGGAAAAGCAGATCAGACTTGAGTGAAAACAGGCTGACTGTCTTTTTCCTGTCAGCTCATTATGCAAAAAAAGTTTTTTTTTTTTTTAAGAAACATTGCTCATTGTTTGTGGCTGATTACTTTTCAATAAACTTTTAAAAATGATGATCACATTCTCTGTTAAAACCTGGGATGATTCTTTTACATTTGCATCTCCGACCAAGGTGATTAAATGGCAGCAGTGACCGGTATTGTTATAATCATTGTTTGGCTCGGTAAGACAAAAATGGGAATCCTTCCACAAAAGAGAAAGTTAACTTTTATTTCTCAGCTTGCAAAGTGTGAGAGGACGATGACTAACTGTGACAGCCAAATGGCGGTGGTGGGCGGTGGGGGATAATTCTTAGATAATTCAACTTCATCTACAGCAACAATAACACGTTTAACTACTTATTTTTTAAAAGGAGCAACAATATTATTGCTGAAATGGTAAGACTACCTCTTACTGGTAAAATTAACACATTAAAACCACATGCTGCTAAGAACGCATCTCAGAGGGCTTTGAAATATGCGCCTGTTTGTGTCAAATCTGTGTTTTTTTGATGAATCTGTGTTGTGTTCAGTGTTACCCTGCTGCGAGGGGGAGGTGGGGACAGCTGGCTGGCTGAAGCTGTTCTCCTCCGTCTGGGAGAGCTCAGGAGGAGACTGGGGAGGGTCCTGCCCTGGAGTCAACTGGAGAAAGAGAGAGACAACATGACCGTTCCTTTGGGGTGCCCCTCTTACTTTATTTTTTCCTGCGCATAAATTTCCACAAACATGCATAGGATAAATTTATTTTATTTTAAGAAATCAATTATTTCTCAAAAGGTTTGGAAGCACTTTGAGCATCCTAAAGAGTTAGATAAGAAGATTAATACCACTCTCACGTCTGTACGGTAAATATGAAGCTACATCCAACAGTTTATTGGCTCAGCTTACATACAGTACACTTTTAAAACACCACTCTGGTCTCTAGTGAAAACAGAGCTAATCTTACAGCTGCCTATTCATTATAGCTTCTAGTGAAAAAAAATGCTTTCACCGGAAATTTCACCAATATTTTGTCATGAAAGCAAAAACATCACAGTACAGTGCAAACTCTGCCTTCCAGCTGTGACAGTGGTCTATAGGATAATGCCTGAATTGGCTTAATTAAAACAAGTTTCTCTTTAAAAATACACTGAGCAGAGACACATATTTGATGCTATAAATATTGGTTTCCCCATTTTCTTTTCTAAGGTTACATTGTTCATCACATTACATCAGAATACATCTAATCTTCTTATATAAAAGTAATGGAAAGTAAGGAGGTTACGCTTCTTTAATACTGTGATATTTGGATTAGGTGTCTGACTAATCCTCCCAATGCTGGCTACACTAACCAGCTGCTACCTGCTTCATATTTATCATACATACATGAGAGTAGTATCAGTCTGCTCATACAGTTTTACTCTTGACAAGAAAGCGACTAAAATTTCACAAAATACACATGTATGCAATGGTGCACAAAACAAAGACACTAATATATTTGAATAAAAGTTAGCTTGGTGTGATCTGAATTTGTTCCACTTCTGTATTATTATTCCAACATTATGGCAGACTCTTGTAGTTTCTCAAATATTATTTCCATCTGTCATAATAAATTAACTTTTTAATGCTAAAACAAAACCATCTCTATGAGTAAAGAAAATAACAACTTAATTAAAACCTAATCACAATTATCAGAGTTGTCCTGCTTTCCTGTTTCTAATGTAATAATAAAGGAAATATCTTTATTTGTGAGGGACCAAATGTGCAGTACCACAGAGACAGTGACTCGTTACCTTCCTCCTGCGCTGTGCGGTGTTGGAGATCTTATCGGGTGTGACTCCGAGGTCAGACAGGACCTTAGCGATTCCTCGGGCGTCCACACCACAGTTAGGAGCTACATTAGTCTCACACCGTCTGTGCACATTCATCTTACACACTGCGAAACAAAAACACATGAGAATTGTTCAGGTTATTCCCAGGAAGGGTGTCTAACTCAAACACTGGACTTTTAAAAGGTTACCTAATAGTTAAAGACATTAAAGCGTGCTGGAAGGTCACAGGTGTGAAAAAGGCACTGCCACTCATTGAAAGACATCAGTACATAGTTAATGCAGTAGATATCATATTGGGACGCTACAACTGAATCTTTCATGGACTGCAACTAATGATTATTTTCATTATCCATTATTCTGGTTATTGTTTTTGATTAATCGCCAAGGTATGGAACAGCATTTCTGCTTCACTTCACAGTCACTCCTCAATTCAGATTTTTTTTAAAACACCTAAAACAACTTCTCTTCAGCACGATGTAAATGAGGAAAGTGTATGACAGTGTATGAAAGTAGTGCAAATAAATGTTATTGTTATCCTTGTTTTTATTACTTTTTCTTCCTTAGTCTTTTTATTTTTTAGTATGTCCTGTTTGGAAATTGTATTGTATTGTATTGTGTATATATATATATATACATTATTACATAATATATGTCATATTATGTAAATTTGTGGCCAGCTTATATAACCGTCTTTAATTTCAACTACTTTCCTCTCTCGCTTTTGTTATATTTTACTCTATGTACAAATAAAGAACATAAATAAAGAACAAAAAAGTGGCATCCTAAAATTGTGTGTTTGGTTCAAACAAAACTCCAATGTCGATTACATTTATTTTTTCCATGGATGTTTAAATGACTGTTTCAGCTCTACATAGTTATTTTAATTATTGAAAAAAATATTCATGGGATACACGTGGCAAATTTTGTGCATTATTTGACAAGAAAACAGGAAAGATTTTCTTAGATTACCTCAAAATAAAAGTAAGAACAAGCTGGATGTAAAATCCTTATCATCAGAGATACAAAAAGTTATTTATTATTTTATTATAACTGCAATAAAAATGTAATTTTAGATTTATGCTTTTATAAAATGAATTAACATTTGTTGAAACATTTGACAAGCTTTTGACTTTAAATATATACACATATTGTTTAAGCTCCAATCAGGTTGTGAGGACCTTTAAATGCATCCTTGCGCGTTCACACTGTGAATTCCCCATTGCACATAAACTCACCTTTGCATTGCAGGCCCTGCCTCATGAGGCCCCACAGCAGGGAGCCACAGTGGTCACAGAAGGTGGGGACCTTGTAGTTGTGGATGCTGAACTTATGGGGCATGTTAACACTGAACCGCTGTGAACCCACCTACAGAGGGAGACACACACAAACACACACACAGCGTTACAAAGAGGTCACCATGGCATTATCAGAGGAATAATGCATGTGGCTCAAGTGTTAGTACACAGTCTACACATGTTACTTTAAGTAACAGATTTATTCACGAAAGGCCTGAATGGTGAGTGTCTGTGTCCATATTCAGTTTCTCCAACAGGATTCAGTGTGTGCGTTGATACGTAATAAACAATTTATTAACAAATATTAAAGAGCTAAAAATCCACATACTCCATGTGCACTTGGATGTTTGCATGTGAGTGTGCGTACCTCATCAGGTGTGTCCTCCTGCTTCTTCATCCCGGCACACTTGGTGATGATGAGCTCATGGCAGCGCTTGTGGACGACACACGTACACACTGGAAGCACAACATCAACATCAAGCATTCACAAATTAAGAGCAGTTAGTCTGAGCTGCAGGGACATTGAATATGTGAGGTTGTTATCAACGTTGTCCCCACTGGAAGAATAAAAAGTGATCACACCTCAAAAAGAAACCAGTGATTCTGATGCAATACGGTGGCACGGAGTGATGCATCAATTCAATATGCTGATTTAATATCCATGCTAACACTGACCTTATTAAAGTCAAATGTGACCTACACCAAATGTCAATAATAAAATGTAACAATGCAATTTTCTGAACCTTCTTAAACAATATAATTAAAATCTACACAAGCCTAAAAAGAGGGTTTTGTAGTTACAGCCTCACATTCACATAAACCAATTAGTAATACAGAGGCTAAATTGAGAAAAGAAAAAGAGGGCTTGTATCAGATTAATACTCCAGAGTCAAAAACTAGCTGAATTATTAATATTTTAGTATGATTACATATTATAGCCAGACAAAACATTAATATTGGATAATTCTGCAAAACCTGGATTACTTTCATTGGTTTTCAAATGAATTATTTCTACAGCATCTATCAATGACAACTCGAATGAGGATAAATTGTGGATAAAGGACAACACAATGTCTACAGAGGAGAGGCAGCACGTTAACAGAGGTTCAGTCCTCTGTCTGCGTCTACAGATGATGTGTTCAACTACAGTATTAAGTGTAGGTCGTCTGCGGTTTGGCAGCCCAACTCACTGACGCTGTAGTTATGTGTTTAAAACAGAAAAAAATACATTTAAAGCACGTCAATATTGTTCGGGTTGCTGTGTAGACAAGCTTTTAGGCAGAGGTGGTACAGATACTAGTGTAAAAAAAGACTCAGGTAAAAGTAGAAGTACTGATTCAACTTCTGAAAAAGTGCTGTGTTCAAACAGTGCAGGGGGGTGCGTTGGTGGATGCCTGTTGTTTAAGGTACCGATGAGACATGAAATATGATCCAAGAAGTCCAGTTGGAGTAACAGATGAACGCATTTAAAGGCTCACGAGAAGCCAACACATAAATAATACACACAGACAGGATTTTAAAACTTTGAAAAGTTATTACGGAGGCAATTATTTTATCTTTAATTTAAATAACAGAAATGAGACAATCACGTTACAAAGTAATCCATCAGGAATGTACGCTTGCGCATATTTTTTTTGGTCAACGCAGCACCTTGCCAGATGAGAGCCCCTTGTGTCGACGCCCCGACTGGCCCCATTCAACTGAATGAGGACTCTCTTTTTTTTTTACACACGGTGGAATACATTAGATCCACCTCACCTGCACCTCCCGCCATACAGCATGACAACACTACTTCCTGTGTCTGCACTGAAGGTTGGTGCTCGACGTACACCATGTTCTGCAGAATCATCCAATATGATTGTGAGCCTGGGCTGAGTGACAATAACCCGGGACAAAGAGGCACGATCACATCACCGCTGTGCTTGCGTCCCTACAATGGCTCCCTGTTAAATTTATAATTGATTTTAACATTTTATTGCCCACTTTTAAATCCTTAAACTGCCTTGCTCCTGTCCTGTATACATTTCTGATTTATTGACCTCGTATGTGCCTCTTTGATCCTTGAGTTCTGTAGACGGAGGTTATTCAGGCTTTTGCTATTAGAGCCCCCACACTATGGAGCTCGCTGCCTAATGAACTCACACATTCTTTTGCTTTTTCGACATATTGGATATATGTTTTTATTTGTAATGTTTTTATTCCTATTTATTTGTTCTTTCTGATTAATTTAATGTTTTATTACCTTATTGTGCTCATGTTCCATATTTTCATTTTATCTTCCCTGTCTGGTTTTTACTCTGTAAAGCACTTTGGAACATTGTTAGGAAAACTACTATATAAATGTTTATTATTATTATTATTAGTATTATTTTAAAGTATCTTAACGGGTCAGTAACACTTCTAGCTGGACTTTTAGGTTGTTTGAAGACAAAAATGTACAACATAAACAATGTTCATGAGCCTTTTTAATACCGTTCTACGCCTCTGGGAGACGGTGGCTTGCTACCAAATCACAGCTGTCATTCAGCAACATGTAATCCCTCTTGTGCTCGCGTTCTTAAATAATACATGACGTGCTGTGTTACTTGAGAAATTGGAATCTTCCAGAGAAAAGTACTCACCCTGACACTGGTATCCCTGCTTTCCCAGCACGCCCCTATCAGATCACACACAGAGGAGTCAGCATTTCAGCCAAGTTGGTTTAATGAAACAGAACAGCAGGTAAGGTAGGTCAGACAGATCTGTGTGTGTTTGCATGTCACCTACCAGATAAAATCTCTGCAATGTGAACAGTAGGTTGGTTGTCGCAGGTAGGTGGCCATGAACTTGTGTCCATTGACTTGATGGACACGTCTTCGGACGGCGCCCTGTCGCCGGCGAGGACCGATCCTCTCTCGAAACACTCGCTCCTCATTCTCGTTGGTACTTGTGGCTGTCGAGTGAATAAACACAAAGTTTTAAGAGAAATTTCTTAACTTTTGTGTGTTTTTGAGTCAGTTTTATACAAGATATCGCACTGCTACAGATGTTTTTGCTACATCGATTTTACTTCCTGAGACACTTTGTACAAATAAGGATCATTTGCATCTTGTTGCTCGAGATGTTTAATCATTCAATGGCTTCTCATCTTCCTCCCCCCTCCCCCTCCTCCTCCATCCTTCTTTCTCACAAACACCCCACACCTACCAGAGGCCTATGCATACGTACGTGTGCATGCTATTTATACTTTCATGTGTGGGCACTAAAACGAAGGACAGCATATTAAAATACTCCTCCTCAGCGAGCACCATCCAACCAGCCATTCCCTTCCTCTCTGCATCTCCCCGGAAACATAAATGCTTTCCGAGGGTAACCTTAAGACAAGAGAACCACCTCCACTCTCACTCCCACACACACTCCTTCTCTCTGCGCTCCTGTCCTAGTTTGCCTTTCTTTCACTCTCCCTCCATCCCTCTTCTGGGTACGTTATAGATGTGGTTACTGCTGAGCCTCTCCAGAGTTCGATTACAGACAGGCTGTCTAGGGACTCTGTGTGTGTGTGTGTGTGTGTGTGAGTGTGAGAGAGAGTAGGAGTGTATGTGAGTGAAAGTGTGTGTTTTTGTGTGCCTTTGTGTGTGTGTGTGTGCGGAGACAGCTTAACAGGCCATTATTGGGATCACTTTGTTTTACATAATACATCATCCATCTGTCCAGGACACACACATACACACAGGCATGCTGACAAGGAGGGGCGATGAGGCATAACAACAGTTAAGAGCGATCGCCGTGGCGACAGACGTGCTCTGGTTCTGCTGAACGGCCGTCCAATAAGCACACACACACAGACACACAGACAGAGAGACAGACAGACAGACACACAGACAGAGAGACAGACAGACAGACAGACAGACAGATTCAAATTTGACACAAACATGGAAAAGACCAGCAGACAATGAAGGCAGAGTGGCGGAAAATCTAAACTACAGATGGTGATATAAACAAATATGACATCAAAAAGAATAACAATACAACTGTGGCAGTAATCCATCTGCTTCTCAAATAATGAATAATAAATAATGAAGACTGTAGTTAGATTTGTGTTGAAAAATGTATTAAGGTGAAAGACAAATTAGAAAATGCTGAAGACATTCCTGAATAGAAACACACACAAAAAAACGTGTACAGAAGTGGTTCCTCAAATGTTTACAAGGTTATTAATATGTTTGGCACCTTTATTAAGTGGAAGCACTTAGAGGAAATTAAGCTGAAGCTGAAGTTACAGTTGAAGCGGCTCCTCAAATGTTGTAGATACATTCGTACATAATATTTTCCAGAGTGAATAAAAAACAACCAGAAAACGCTACATTGTTTGAATCGTTTGAAATGGCGACAAAAGCTGAAGTCGACATATTTTAAAAAAATAAGTCATAGCTAAAGTTAAGACACAATTTGAGGTTCCACAAATGTTAAACACTATTGATATGTTTGTGCAATACTCTATTAAGTTAAATTACTTAAAGTTGAAGTGGTTCCTCCAATTAGGAATAAGATTGTAGAAACCTTGAATAAAATAAAACTAGAAACTAGAAACTACTTGCTTAAACAAATTGAAGTGTGAAAAAGGTTGCAGTGGAAACATCCGTCTGTTTTATTTAAATGTTTTATTGTTTGGAGCTTTTGAAACAGCATTAAGAACAGCAGATGAAGCACTTAAAGCGACTGAGCCAGTAGGTGAGACTGTAGCAGTGAAAGGGATGACTCAAATGTTGAATAATGTTGAATAAGATTGTAGATACAGTTTCACAATTATTTATTATGAGGAAATTTATGTTTTGAGTTGCAGTAACATTCATTTGATCATTTCCAACATTTATGGCTTGTGAAACAAATGCATTTGTGCCCTGTTGGTGGTTGGATGGTTGGTTCATGTTGCTCTACATAACATTTATGAACAATAGCCGATGTTTGGCGAGTCAAATTCTAGCATGTAGATACGTAATAAGTATTTAGGATGATGGTAGAAGACAATGTGTTGGTTTTTAGTTTTTGTTTCACAGGATGAGGAAGATGACTTTAGAAATGACACCCATCTATCAGTCTGCTTAAAGACGACAGAAATGCAAAAGGAAATAATAATAATGATATTTATAAATCTGAAGCAAGAGGGGCCTTTATAATATTATATAAAAGTGTTTGTAGGAAAGTGAGATGAACTATGCCAAACGCAGTACTATAGAGCAACTAAACACTGAATCACTAATGATTCTGGTAGAATTTCAATTTCAATTTCATCATTTTATCACACTTGTTTACACTCTTACAGGCTATTTTAAAAGTATTTTTTCTATAAACTGGCTATTAACTAGCTTTTATTCTATTTTTCATTTTTGATGTTTGTTCCATGTGTTGCACTGTGAAATGTCTGATTTTGTGTCTGTAAAGAACTTCATAAACTTGTTTCTGGAACAAAGGTTTGCCAAAAATGTTACTCTGGTCATTTTAAGAGCTCAATCAAAAAGGTTATCTTTAAAGAGCTTTGAGGAATGTGGAGAAAAATTAATTAAACACACAGAAAATGACGAACAAAGAGAGAGCAGGGAATCGAGAAGAAGAAAGGAAGAGGCTGCAGATTGTCACATTAGGTCAGATTATTGTTATTTGCCTCCTGAGACCGACAGATGCACAAGGATGGAGAGGAGAAAAGAGGAGAAAAAAGGAGAGGAAAAGTCCTCCCTCTCCTCCCTCTGAAGCTGCAGAGAACAGATTGCACCAGGGGAAAAAAAATAAATCTGCTAAAAATACCACCTCTTCCTCTAGTTCTCACCCTCCATCTCTCCATCCCTCCTATCAGCACACACACACACACACACACACACCATTTGTTTTTATCAGCATACATTAACATGACGAGCACTCAAGCCAGCTGAACTCAGGGAGGAAGTTCAGGAGTGGGCGGAGAGTGGGTCGTGAGGTCACAACAGAGTGTCCAATCATCGATGAGGAGGGCAAGACACGGACGCCTGAGTCTGCGTGTGTGTGTGTGTGTGTGTGTGTGTGTGTGTAATCCGTGGCTCAATCTCACCTACTATTTTAAGAATCTACTCCCTCTCTCTTCACTCTCTACTGCTCTCTTTATCCGTCTTTACACAGAAAAACTATCCTCTGTGTTATATAGTCGGGGTTCTCTGCTGCACCCTCACACACACACACAAGCACACTTTCACTGGAAGGCAGAAAACTGTTTCTATTTATAACCAGGTGTGAAGATACACAGGTGCAGGTGAAAATCACTCTTATCCGGCAGCATGTAAGTGAGTGTATTTGCACGGAAAAGATAATTGAGAGAGATATTCTTAATGTTTCCATGTTTAATCAATACAAACAAATAGAGGAGGATGGAACCAAGAACAAGAGAGAGAGGGAGAAAGTTCTATGAATTCTGTTAAGTAACTTTCTAGGAAAACAGGACGACCTAAGGCTTCGTGTTTGGCCTTTTTTTTTAACAGTAATCTTTCCATCTTACTCTCTAAAAGCTGGCAGTAATGAGGATGTACTGTATGTACACTGTGTTGTTAAACCTGCAGTATCTGATGTTTTGGCCACTTGATGGCAGAAGATAAGATGTTAACACACCACTGACATATTTTAAGTTAACATATTAGCAAACAGTGGCTTATTCACACATCATTATCATTCATTTGGAGTCATATATCTGGCCACCTGGTAATTTAAGTATTAAATTATTCACACTTGTTTTAGCTCTATTTTTGGTCTCTACCAACTCCTATGGGGAAATATCTTGAGTCTTTAGCTGCTAAATGATCCACTATATTTACCAGCTAGTCACTAACTTTGTCCATCTGCGGTTTGGTGCTGAGCAGGTAGTGTACAATAGCTTTTTAGAGTTTGTTTTCTGAAAACAGCAGCCTGCTGTGACCAGAAACAATGCTATGAGAATGGTGAGAGTAAACCAAAACAGGGTGGTGTTGCAAATTCAGGCAATAATTCTCTGTATGTTCATCACTACAAGCAACCCCTTTCATATCGTCTTCACATTGTTATTATAATAATATGAATTACAGATTGATGTAACGATACACTCAACTCTACAATTCACAATACTTGGTTCACAATATCATTTTCTCACCGTTTCTTTAACAAAATGAGATGGGAGGCAGGGGAAGTGATTGAACACCTGTCAGTGGGTGGGATATATTAGGTCAAAGTTAATGTGATAGAAGCAGGAAAAATGGGCAGCGTGAGGATTGGAGTGACTTTGACAAGGGCCAAATTGAGATGGCTAGACGACTGAGTCAGAGCATCTCCAAAACTGCAGCTAGTGTGGGGTGTTCCCGGTCTGCAGTGGTGAGTACCTATCTAAAGTGGTCCAAGGATGGAAAAGCGGTGACAGCAACAGGGGTCTTGGGTGGCCGAGGTGGTCCGATCCAACAGATGAGCTACTGTAGCTCAAATTGCTGAAACAGTTAACGCTGGTTCTGATACAAAGGTGGCAGAACACAGATGGAAACTTTACTGTTTTTGCTCCCCTTTATTGCTCTCAGCATCACTTTTTCCGCTGCAGAAGGAAGCTGTTTTCAGCAAAAAAGCTTAGAATGAGCCTGGAAGATGTTGAACTGCCATGTTTTTACAGTAGCCCAGAACAGACCAATCCAACAATGGCTGTAGATAGAGACTTTCGTGAGTTTTGAGGCCACCATAATTTATCTGACACAACAGGAGTGTCTCTCCTTAAATTTCTGTCAGGTAGGTAAATGTGATCTGTTTGTCTGATGGATCTCAGTCGTAAACTCAAAACGTTCCTGTTCTTAAATAAAGTTACATCAGACTGCGATGAAGTTCATGATATCAGCAGCTGATATCCTGGTAGAGGGACAACCCACGCAGCTTATTTTCTTTAAATAGTTCCACCTTTCCAGACTCATTACCATCGGCTTTGCACATGTCGATGCTGTACTTTCCGCTAGCACATACCACCATACCACACTGTCCTGAAACGACAAGGCCTGTGTATGTGTGTGCAGTGTGTGGTCTAACGCGTGATTCCTTTCCCTTTTCACTAGTAAAACAGCGTATTGTGGTGGTTTTACCTTCAGTGGAAGATCCGGACAGATCAATGACCACATACACCTTCCCCTCCGGCTCCAAGTCAATCTGCAGAGACAAAGAAAGAGAGAAACAGAGAGTGAATCAGGGAGAAATAACACAGCTGAACAGTGAGTGCAGCAGGGGGGCTTTCCTCCAGCACAAACAAACACACCAGTGCACATGGAAGAGGTCATTATCTTCACTACCATTACACTCCTCCCCACCACCCGCATCATTATCAGCCCTAACATCACCATCTTTATCACTATTTTCATCACTGTAGACGCCATTTACTCCTGGTATTAACACACTATCCGTATCTTACATGTGATCTGGATAAAGAATTCTTATAACATGGCTTTGCATTCACGCCTGATGTTTATAAGCATCGCCGTCATCTCGATTCCCTTGTGATCTGATCTCGATGTGCAAATTAGGTAGGTGGAGCTGGCAGACTTCTCAACAAATACAACATGTCCCGTAAGGGAGGTGATGCTGCTGAAGTGAGACAAGTTATTTCTTTCTTTTGCTGAGGAAGGGGGTCGTCTCGCCGGGCTTGTTAAAAAGTTAAAAGTTCGTTTACATTTACATCTGAATTAACGTGTTTGTCTGTATCTGAGTAAGGAACACAGATAATAATACAGGTGTAAATGGGATCATAGACACCAGTATAATACGCACGCATTCTCATTTTTAGGGCTGAAATAGTCATTTAATCGATCATCAGTCATTTTCAGTCTAAAATCCCAAATATTACCCCGAGTTCAGCTTGTCAGTTGTGAGAATTTGCACTCATTTCTTTGTCTTATATGATAGTAAACTAAATATTTTTGGGTCTAATGGTCTAATGTGATGGACATGTTTTGCAACATTTTAGAGACCAATGGATTCACTTATTAACCAATAATGATAATCTTTAATACCATTAATGATATTCTTTGTTGCCTATATCGCCATAAGCACATGATGATTATCCTCAACATCATCACATAAATCAGTGTAATCGTCATTACCCTGAATGCCATTGCTATTTCCACCATCATCCTCATCCCCACTTTTACCACTGTCCTCACATTATCATCACATTATCATTATCAATTACATTAATGCTGTTCAATCCATGACTACATCGTTGCTGCACAGAATCACCAACAGTTTTTTTATTAATTTTTCCATGTTTTATCAGAAGCAGAACCATATTAATGTACCATGAAGTGTGCATAGCAATGTTGGAATTGGAATAAAGGATATAGTACTCTAAACCAGCGGGATTTGAAAGTTTTGTGCATGAGTTACAAGTTTCAGGGTAAAAGTTACAAATATGTAATACAAAATGCTAATTCATGTGCATAAAATAAAATGAACTCCCTTATATGTGACAGGCTCTGTACACATTTAGGGACAAAGGATTTTGGCGGTGCTAGCAGAAATCTGAGGTCTTGTCCAGCAGGTTTACAACATCACATTGTACTTCACAAAACAGCCGCTTTTTATTTGCCTCCTCTTGCTTCTTGTTTGGAGTAGAAACAAATGCCTATTTTGCTGTGAATACCGCAACTACATCATGTATACCTAGACGTATTAGACAGTGGTTGTACTTAGAAAACTGTAATGGTGCTCAGTTGGACAGAAATTAATCTGCAACTATTTTCATAATCCTTTAATCGGTAGTAAGTAATTTTTCAAGCAAAAAAAGCCAAATATTTGATGGTTCCAGCTTCTCAAATTGGAGAACTGGCTGCTTTTCCTTATCTTACATTACAGTAAATTGACTCTCTTTGGATTTTGGACAAAACCAGACGCTTGATGATTTGACTTTGACTTCTAGAAAGAATAAATCACTGCCATATACATATATGTATATATATTTTAATTTTTTCTAATGTTTTATAGACCAAACAATTAATCACTTGATCTAGAAAGTAAGTAGGGATGCGCAATGAATCAAAATACTATTGAAATGGCAATACAACCGAATACAATATCCAAATCGCAGAAGCTGAAGGTAAAATGTGTGATAAAACAACATTATAATAAAGTACTATAGTGCTGCAGAGATACCCTGGTTTGGTACAGACCTCAACAAATGTCACATCATC